AGAGAGAGAGAGAGAGAGAGAGAGGGAGAAAGGAAGGGAGGAAGGGAAACTAAATTAAATTATTTGATTTTTTAATGTTAAACCAACTCTGAATTCCTGGGGTATACATCACTTGCTAATAATGCATCATCCTTTTATTTGCTAAAATTTTATTTTGAATTTTTCATCTATGTTTTGAGAGGTTAATTTACACTTTTTTAAGTATTGTCTTTGTCAGGTTTTGAGTCAGGTTAATATTAGCTTCACAGAATGAACTGGGAAGTATTCATTTCTCTTCTGTTTTTTGGGGAGAGTTTTTGTATAATTGATATTGTTTCTTCCCTAATTGTGTGGTAAAATTTGCTAGTTAATCCATCTGTTTCTGGATTTCTAATTGTGGAAAAGTTGTTAACTATAGTTTCAGTGTTAACAATAAAGGTCAATTTGTGTTATCTATTTTTTCTTGAGTGAGATTAAGTGATCTGTATTTTTCAAGTAATTTAGAATTTCATCTAAGTTGTCTAATTTATTGGCATAAAATTGTCCTTAGTGTTTTAATATCTACAGAATCTGTAATTCTAGTTGCCTTATTTTTTTATATTAATAATGTAACCAGACTGGCTCAAGATTTTTCAGTTGTATTGATTATTTCAAAGTTCTACCTTTGGGGTTCATTTTCTGTTTTGTATTTCACTGATTCCTGTTTTAAATCTCTATCATCTTTTCTTCACTTTAATTTTCTCTTCTTTGTAAATTTCTTAAGATACTGAGGTCTTTGATTTGATTGGTTAGGTTGTTTGTTTGTTTTTTTGTACCTGGGATCGAACTTGGGACCTTGCACTTGCAAGGCAGGCGGTGGCACCACTGAGCTAAATCCCTGGCCCTCTGAGTTCTTTGATTTGAGATCCTTCTTTTTAAGCATTTAGTACTATAAGTTTCCTACTAGGTACTCTTTAACATAATCTAATTCATTTAATTCTTTTCAAAATTCCTTTAATTTCTGCTTAAGGTATTTCTAAAAATCTACTTGTTACTAATTTCTAATTTGATTTCATTATTGTCAAAGAGTAGTATTCTATGCGTGGTTTGAATTCTTTTGATGAATCAACATTTGTTTTACGGCCCAGAATATTATTTATCTTGGTAAATGTTCCAAGTTCAAGAGCCTTACAATAGAATAATATGCTTTCTACTATTCTGTAATAGTGTTCTATAAATGTCCACTAGGTCAAGTTGGTTGGTAGTGTCTGTCAACTCTATCCTTGCCATTTTTCTGTCTACTTATTCTATCAGTAGTTAAGGAAGGGGCATTGAAATTTGTTCATGTAACTGAATTTGTATATATCTCCTTGAAGTTCTACCGGTCTTTGTTTCATCTGTTTTGGAGCTCTGTTTTTAGTTACATAAACACTTAGGATTACTATGTTGCTTTTATCATTATGAAGCAATCTTCTTTATCCCTGATAATTTTCTTTGATCTGAAATATTTTTGTTTAATCCTCCCCCTTTGCTTTTAATTTCTTGTCATGCCCGGCAGATTCATCCTGCTGGGCTTCCTGAGGTTGTGATCCTCTTTGTCTTTTCCTAGGGTATTGTCTAAAATTTTTTGCAGTGCTGGTTTGGTATTCATGAAGTTC